AACAAATGTCTAGTAATCAGTCAAGACACGGCTTGGACTAAAGACATAAACAATACTATAGAGTCAATTATATATCCAAAATGATTTAGTGGATTAGCTGTTTATTGCACACTTTGGCTGCAATGCAGTATAGTCTTTTGCTACATATTTCATAAACCTCTGACTATTTTAATTAATTTCTCATAGGACTGAATAGAAAAGAGAGTTTTCACATTATGATAAAAGTCTGCTGCTTGTTAATGGATGAGTCCAATGGAAATAAAAGGAAGTATATAGGTTTATCTGAAAGGAAAGGCATGGTAGAATGGTAGTTTTAAATCAAGTGAAATATTTCTTTTCTCCTGGCAGCTTAGACATTTTTTGTAAGGGCCTAAAAAATTCAAGTGGCTCCATTTCAGGGAAAGAGAACTGAATGTAACTTCTACATAAATTTTTGAAAATGTATATACAGAGGTAACGTAGTGATAATATATGCACCAACTTTTTTAACAGCAATAAGAATTCTTATATGAATAATCATATTGTTCCAATATGTAAGGAAAGACACTTTCCTTATAAAAAATTCTTTCTAACCTTTCTTGTCTGTAACATGAAACTGATTTCAAAATAGGTATTCTATTAAATGTGTTGTATTTAGAGTTTTTGATTTAATAATAAACTACCAGAAAAATGATGCCTCAGAGCTAATTAACTTCCATTACATCTTTTAAGGCAGATTGTGACTTTGTGCCTTACACTGGCCCTCAGTGTAAATAGAAGTAACTCAGAAACCCTTAAACTTGCATAGGTTGTTTGCCAGAGGCATTTTAATAATTTACAACATCTCAAGTTTTTTATCCTTTCCATCCTTCTATTGCTGTCATATAGAACTGAGCCCCCTGCATATTCATGTCCCATTGCATAACTAAGAATTTTACTTTATCAATGCAAAAATGCAAACTGATATTGATTACAGGTTTTGCATACAGTGCTGAACAAAATCCCCCCAGCAAAATGTACAGAATGTTAATTTCTACATAACAGACAATGGAGGYATTGCCATTCAGAGCCAATGGTCAAGCATCTGAAGATGACAAACACATATTCTCTGCCACGCCCATGGTCTTTCTAAAGCCCACTCAACAGAAAAACTACCTGGTGTATCTAATCTCTGCTTAGAAGTCCAGTTCCTTATGAAAATAGGATTGAGAGTAAAAGTAGATYAATTTTAACAAATGTTGAAGATATAAATTAGGTGACTGGTGTAAAATAACTTAGGAAGAAACACATCTGGATGAGTGTTTTATTTAATTTGTTGTGCACAGAGATCTTAAAATGAAATGAGTCATTCACTGACATGCCCCTCTCTCTCCRCACACACTACAGGGAAAACTAAGCTTTGAGAAATCTCTCTTTGATTTGAGAGCTAGCCTTAAATGGGTAAAACCAATAGAGATAAAATCCACATASAGAAGTTAAAGGTTTTTTTCTTCTTCTGCTCAGAAATTTATTCTTCAGATTTTAGGAAGAAATAGCAGGAAGAACAGAACCAGAGAGAAGGAGGAATGAATGAGCACCACACTCTTCCTAGTCACAATTCCTGGTTACCTTGTAGATTTAGCCTCCTTTTACATGCTGGTAAGCAATCAAATGAAAGCTCAAAATGCTTTACCATACCTGATTGCGGACTTTGTTTGGGGATTTTGGCTGCTGCTTCGGGGCTGGAGGTGGCACGCACACGCTGATTGGCAGAATTGTGGATGCTACTTGGGACAGCTGCTGAGATGTTTTTACGAGGTTTCATGTCTTGCAACCACATGGGGGATGCCTCAAAGGCTTGCATTCGCCGAGAGTGGCTGTTAGCATTGACCTTGAGAAATGCCTGGGCCTTGTATTCCTGAAGGTCTCCATAGTTGGCATCGGTCACCCTGCACTCATATAAGCCTTCATCCTTTTTCCTCACTTTTGAAATCTGCAGCTTGTGGGAGATGTCATTCCCTTGTACTTTCACTGTCTGCAAATTTTCCAGGGAAAAAAAAAAAAAAAAAAAAAAAAAAAAAAAAGGAGAAAAGGTCTTATTAATTCTTCTTTCTTTGAAAAAACTACAGACATAGTACTAAATTACTCAATGGTGTGATTGTGCTTACTGCAGGGAAGTTACATCCAGGATAAGTACAGCTAATTTTATATATGAGGATGTCTGACATCTTTTTTTCCAAATCTGTTTAGATTTTTTTTCTGAAAACTTATTAGTCTGTGACAAAAATAAAAAAAAAAACAAACTACCATCTTTATTCCAATTAATTGCTTAAGATCATGAACATTCTTAATGAGCTTTCTTATGGCAACCTAGTATCTATGCATTTTATTGGTTAAACCTTTCCARTTAGTTGGCTTTATTGAATAATTCAGTTTCTGAACTAGTGCATTAACAATTGTGCTGGAGATGTTTGCCAAGATTTAAATTATGTTAATAACTATTTATTAGATCAGCTTGTACTCTTCACTACATTGAAATGGTACATTTTGCATTCAGTTTGTCTCCTTCAAATGTGTCTAAACTCTTGGGGTTTTTTTTGGTTAGTAATAACAAGATATCTCATGTCAGGTTGTTTCTTTTGTCTTGTTTATCTGTGTACTTATTAGAAGCACATATTCAGAATAGTTTTTAAGAGTTGTCAGCTAAAATAAGACTCCTGATTTATTTTTAATTATTTCTAATATCTGARGGCAACACAACTTTTTTTTCAGATAATTTTAAAACACACATGAGTAAATTATACATCCAAAAATGTATGATAGGTATTAAGATGCATTGGGAAAAGAYAACACAAATTCCCTTCTGTATGTTCATCACTTTAGAGAATTTATAGTTAATAATTTTKCTATTACTCTCTATCTGAATTAATATCTGTTGTCCCACAGGAAGCCAGTTAAAAGGTGCTCAGTGGAATATAAACCTTCAGCTGTGAAAAACTTCTGAACCTGGTTGACTTCCACCATTACATAAACATGGATGTAAAGGTTGCTCTGCGTAACATCAATGAGAGCCAATAAGGAGACATCAAGATGAATACATGGTAGGTCATAAAAAGAGAGAACTGTTAGATTGAAGCTGGTGATTGTTATTGGTGATTGCACAACATTGCYTGTGATAGCTTGGCTTGCTGTAGTCACCAGTGTTGGCAAGGCACCCATTCTGCCTTCTTGATAAATTGAAGAGCAATACTTGTGAATCTGTCATTGCTTTAAGGTACTGGATGGACTTTATAGCCTGTTGTGTTGTACCCAGCTTTGAATTTATGCTTGGCAAACTGAGTTGAAAGTATGGATTACATACTTACAGGCATAATGTATGCAATATTAATTGCACAGAAAGTGCTGGATAGTTATTTAAATCATATTCAATAATAATATATCTCTATTGAACAATTCATGTTCAGCAAAAGGATTAAGAAGATTCATATGAATGGAAAGACGATTCATATTGTGCCTTCATCTGCTCCCATGCAAGAGCCACAAAGATAACGATGCTGCACAGCACTGTGAAAAACAGGATTGGTTTTGACTTTTGCATTTGAAATTTAGAAATTATTGCAGACAGCACATACACGTTTTCAGTTTGTGTGGTTTATCATTTAGAACAGATAGAAATGGTGTATTTCAGCACACATTTAGCATTTAAAAAAATATTTACTAAATGCACTTCAAAGTTTTCTCTTCATTATGATAATTTAGAGTTGTACTAATGTAGCTATGTATGCCTTCAAAAAATAAGACTACATTTGTAAAAAAATACATTTAGACATCTACATAATGTTGACATTTTTATTACAAATATAAATAATATAAATTACAAATATAAAAATTACATTTGTAATTAAATTACAAATATAAAAAATATAAAATAAATGTTTTATGCAAACTTATAAGAACACTATAAATACCCTATCATGAATTATTATACATAATGAAAGGGATTTGCAACTTCAAAGATGAGACAAGCATTACAGCCTCTATTGTGTCTCAGTTCTTATGGATTACTACAGGGATTTCAAAGGAGCCACTATTGATAAGGAATATATTTTCTGCTAGCCCCATGCCAGTGGAATAGTATCCAAGGACCACACGTGCACCTCATTTGTAAGATAGTCTAGAAATACAGCTGAAGATGTGGTCCATTACTCAAATAATTTCTAGTCAATGCTGGGAAGTATAATAGGAAATGTAAGTATGCCAAGAATATGTATTGCATCTYCTTATAAATGCTCTTCACCTATATCTAACTGCACTTTGACCTTATATAATTATTTGGTTTGTTATTTGTAAGCACCAAAAAGCAGCAGAGTAAAGGGTTTAACAGAAGTTATTCTCCTTTATTTGTTTCTGTTTAAAGCTTTGCTGGTATTTAAAGCCTTGTCTACAGCTAAAAGGCACTTCCAAAGAGATTGTGCCAGAAAARGAGAAAACCCCTCTGGGTTCAAAGGAATATTCATGCTGCAGTATCTGCTGAGTATCTGTGTCTTTCCACTGCAGTAAACACCACACCACGACCCCACCACCACACATTTCTTGGGATGCTGAGGGAGGAGGGTCTGAGCTATTCTGAGGTCACAAAGAGCCTTCTGGCTGTGCCTGACTCAGGACCTGGGTCTGCTGTGGAAGGGATCCTTTCCCTGCAGGGAACAGCTGGAGGGGGAATGGAGCAATGCTGCTTATAATTCTGTTGAGACAACATTCTGGTTTCATCTCCAAGCAGCAGATTGTTAACTCTGGTTTCAGAATCTCACTTTTGTAAAACAGAGTCTCAGTGGCCAAGAGCTGAGATTACTCCCAACGGGGAAGTTTTGTCCAAAGCCTTTCTGAGCTTTCTTAGTGCTGGAGGCTATGGCCCTTAGAAAACACACATTTAAGCAGTTACACACTGCTCTAAAGGAAAGTGCAACTTCATGAAAAAATTTCATCCTTAAAAACAGTTTCCAAGTGCTAAGGCAGCCTCAGCACTTGCCCAGGGTAAATTAAAACAAGAAATGGGTGCAGSCTGAATTCTTCACAGGGTACAAACAGGTTCTGCCAGTGGTCTCTGCCTTGGACACTCTGGTCGATGCCTCCGTGTCCAGGGGTGTGGGGGGCTGCATGGGGCAAGGCTGTGCTGAGCCCTCTGTCAGACCGTAAGGGAGGTAGTCATAATTATAGAATCAACCATTTAGTTTGGAAAAGACCACCATCGAGTCGAACCGCTGAACTGCGGCTGCCAGCTCCTCGCAATCCGCGTTGCGGGCAGGGGAGGGGATGCGGGGCAGGAACAGACTCGGCGCTCCCAGGCGGGGTGGGGCCTGACTGGGGAAGGGACCCGCGCCCTGAGGCGACACTTACGCTGATCTTCGTGCCGTCGCTGTCCAGGTCCCGCTCGGACATGAGCTCCACCTGCAGGGAAAGGAGCGACGCCGTGGGTGTCCGACCCCCGCCCCTCAGCGCGCCCCGCTCCCGCCCCGCCGCCGAGCCCATGGAGCGGTGAGCCGCGCCTGCCATCTGCGGGCCGCGCCCGGGACAGCCGGGACAGGCGGGACAGGCGGGACAGCAGGGGCAGCCGGGACAGCCGGGCACAGCCAGGACAGCCGGGACTGCCGGGACTGCCGGGACAGCCGGGCATAGCCGGGACTGCCGGGACAGGCGGGACAGCCGGGACAGCCGGGCACAGCAGGGACAGCCGGGGTAGCCGGGCCCAGCCGGGCACAGCAGGGACAGCCGGGACAGCCGGGCACAGCAGGGACAGCCGGGGTAGCCGGGCCCAGCCGGGCACAGCAGGGACGGCCGGGCACAGGCGGCAACGGCGGGGACACACAGCACGGCCGGGCACAGCCGGACCCCCCGCCCTCCCTCCTCGAGTGGCGTCTTTTCGGGGCGGCTGAATGCCGAGCCCGGTGAGGAGATGGCAGCGGCCTAGGGAGGAGCGTCCACGGATGGCCATGGACACGGTTCCGTGTAAGTGGACATGGTTGCCCCTGTCTCGCTGAGAAGGGTGAAATCACGCTGTTGAGTGGGTTTGGGGTTTTCACTTCCTTAGGGGCATTGGTTCCCCCCTGCCTCCCCCGCCCCCTCCGAGCTGTGCCCTCTTGTGGCAGCTGCATACGGAGTCAGGGCTGCCAACTCCACTGCGCTAGCTGGAAATTGGAAGGCACGTGCAGGATCTTGACACTTGGGAAATAGAAAATTCCCACAAGGAGCAGTCTTTGAACAGCTGCTTTCCAAGGGAAAATGAGAGAAATAAAAATAATAATAAAAAATAAATAAACCAAAAACGTGTGGGGAGAACAGACTAGAACAGACTTTGGAAAATCTGTGTGATGTTGTGAACAGCCCCAGCTGCATCATGGAAGTGACAAGCACCAAAGGCACCATCACTTGAAGTGGGCATTTTTCTCTGCAGATTCCTGCTCTGTTATTTCACAGTCAAAATTAAGTCCCTGGGGAGATACGAAGCCTCTCTCTGCTCCTTCCCTCTGCTCTCCAGTTCTCTCCTTCCCCCTTTTCCTCTCCATTCCTTCTGTAGCATTCTCCAGGTGGTTTTAAGACCCCATGGCAGAGGATCASTACCTGAGTGCCTGTCACCTCAGCTCCAGCCTCTTGGTCCTCAGCTGCCCGCAGAAACCACCACTGGATTTCGAGGTACACCGAAGTAGAGCCACTTTGGAAAGCACAAGACATCTCCACATTCTGCCCTTCAGTGGCTGTGACATTTCGKGGAAACTCCGTGAATTTTGCTGCAAAACAAATGCATAACGTGTTGGGATCTCCTGCTACCTACTGATTGTTTATGCTCTGCTTCTTGTGTTGCCTTTTTTATTGTTTCTTTCTGCCC